AAGGGGCACAAGCAGGGTATCCTGCCATGCATCCCTTGCCCTCATCTTGTTTCTCTGCCACGCTGGCCCTCTGGCACCTTCCGAGGTAGGCATTGTGGTGTTTTTTGGCACTCCAGCCAAAAAACGTTGCCTACCCCTGGTGTAGGCAGTACTGAACTTGCTGTTCACAGGAAGCTACTCTACCTCTGTTCTTAAGCACCATACTGTTGTTTAATTAAACAGTCTGTTGGCTGAAATAGAGGTGTCCAAGTTGTAGCACAAGTGGCACAGGCAGTGTGCATGTGCGTGTGTCATGCAGCATGCTGATCGGTGAGAAGAGGCGAAGCATATAGGGCAGGAAGCAGGGGGAGAAGATCAGAGTGGTGCCAACTGATGGCAGGGCTAATTTGTGGCATGCCTGCCAAAAAAGGTTGACCTCTGAACTAAAATGAGAACTGTATGAAAACGAGCTAGATTTGGGGCTCCTGAGGCAGCTCTCGGAGACCATAAAAACTAAGGAGGCGGTAGTCATAAACTCCCCAGACATCTGCTGGGAGACGCAAAGTCCCACCGTTCACGCAGGTTCCTATCCTGTGTACAGGACCTCTACCTGACAGAGGGGGTACATGGTCCCACTAGGGGGAATGCCTTACTGGACCTGGTATTGGCAACAGGGATGACATGGTAGGGGACCTACAGATCGGTGGTCATCTGGGGGACAGTGATCACCAAATAATAGAATTCATCATAAGATGTCAAGTGGGTAAGGTAACTAGTAGGGTGAAAACGCTAGACTTTCGGAAAGCTGATTTCAATTAACTCGGGCGATTAGTCAAGGACGCACTGCAGAGTAGGAGTTTTGAAGAGATGGGAGCCCAGGAAGGGTGGCTGTGCCTTAAGGAAATGATCCTTCGGGCACAGAGGGAGACAATCCCGATGCGAGGGAAAGGGGCCAGAAAGCTTCCCTGGCTGACCAGAGAAATCCAGAGCAGCCTACGGGCTAAAAGGGGAGCATATAAAAAGTGGAAACGGGGAGAGATTACCAAAGAGGAGTATACCTCC